CAGCAGGCAGAGAGAGAGGAGGAAGCAGGCTCCCCGCTGAGCAGAGAGCCCGATGCGGGGCTTGATCCCAGGACTCTGAGATCATGACCCGAGCCGAAGGCAGCGGCCCAACCCACTGAGCCACCCAGGCGCCCCCTTATGTCTTTTTTAAATAAAAATTTTATATGCATGCATTCAAAGTTTTACTTTCTGGAGAAGTCTGACAAAAAAAAATAGTTAGGGGTGCCTAGGTAGCTCAGTCGTTAAATGTCTGCCTTCAGCTCAGGTCATGATCCCAGGGTCCTGGGATCAAGTCCCGCATCAGGCTCCTGGCTCGGCAGGATGCCTGCTTCTCCCTCTCCCACTCCCTCTGTTTGTGTTCCCTCTTTCATTGTCTCTGTCAAATAAATACAATCTTAAAAAAAAAAAAAAAAAGTTAAAGTTTTTCTAGGGATAAAGTTTTGAAATATTTTTAGGGTAAAGAAGGCTATTTTAAATAGGTCAAAGTTTTAAGAAAAACTATTTTTGGTTTGCAAAACTACTGAATACACTAAGTAGTAAGCAAACTGATTTTTAAGTTGTAAATATATTAATCTCTTAAGATCATCTTTTTTTTTTTTTTCCTCTCTTAAGATAATCTTAAGTCCCCCAAGCATCTAACATGCACACAGCATTGATCTTGTGTCTTTTTGGGTGTTTTTGTTTTTTTTTTTTTCTTAAGATTTTATTTATTTATCTGAGAGAGAGAGAGAGGGAGAGAGCACAATCAGAGGGAGCTGCAGGCACTGGGATCATGACCTGAGCCAAAGGCAGACGCTCAACCCACTGAGCCACCCAGGAGCCCAACAGTGATCTTGTTCTATGTCTGCTTTTCCACATGTTTCCTTGGGGAAGTGGGTGGTAAAGGGAAATGTGGGGTGGATCTGGAGAAGAGGAAGAATAAAAGACGTCTGTTACTGTGAAGACAAGGTTCATAAGCTTGTTTCTAACCCAGAGGAATCTTTAAATCCTGCCAAATGTCTGGACCACCATGAAGTCCCTTCAGCTACTTCAAGGACGTCGGATATCAGGAAATACTATCAAAATCACTTCACTCAGATAATGAAGCTACTGATTTGGCGCGTTCTGGTGGGGTTGGAGGGGGCTGGAGCGCGTCTCCAGAAATCCACGGGAATCATTCCCAACAGCAGCTCTCTAAGGCCCCTCTTGTTCCTTCCCACTGCCACGCCTTTGCCCCAGCGGTTGGCCTGGCCTGCAAAGCCCTCCTCGTTTCTCAGCGCCGACAGCCTGCTTTCCTGGTCCACCTGCACCGCTGAACTTCAGCTCGGATCCAGCTTCCTCCTGCGGGACCCCTGGACACTTCATGTTTCAACCACCTCAGTTTTACCTTTATTGACGCATACACCGTCTTGTTCTGTTTCTAAGTCTCGCACTGCCATTTCTAGTTCGGTCACTCGTACTGGACAAATCTTGGGACTGGCAGGGGGACAGAGAGCGAGCGGGCTGCGGCGAGCCGCGGAAGCGTCCCACACTGCTCCGGGGGCCAGGGCGGCCTCGCCCCTCGGCGGCCTCGCCCCTCTTTCCGGTCCGGGCGGCGCGCGCTCACGTGGCTGGAGGGCGGCGGCGCGCACGGCGTAGAAGCTCGGCGCCAGGTGAGCGCGGTGGGTGGGGTGCGAGGGCGGCGGGGGTCTTGCGCGCGGAGTCGGAGGCCGGGATCCGGTCCCTGCGACGCACGCTGCGGGGGTGCGGGGCCAGGCCCGACTGGTGGGGAAGGATGGGGGGAGGACCCCGGGCCAGCGCTGCGCGGGTTCGTGGAAACTCGGCAGGTTGTGGACAAGCTGGCACACCGGCAGCTTTTCCCCTAAATGCTAGTTTAATGGCGTTTTCTCACGTTGAAAAAATAAGGAATAGATTTGAAAAATTCTGTTTCTGCCGCTTCCCCCTCCTCCTTTTATTTTTCCTATTAGTCTTAAAACTACGGCGCATTAAATGCAGTGTAGCGTCCTGCAACAGAAAAAGGACATCAGTAGAAGTGGGAAAATTCTCATAAAGTTTGGGGTTTAGTTAATGGCATGAATCAATATCAGCTTATAGGTTTTTTTTTTAACATTTTTTATTTATTTATTTGAGAGAGAGAGACAGTGAGAGAGAGCATGAGCGAGGAGAAGGTCAGAGGGAGAAGCAGACTCCCCGTGGAGCTGGGAGCCTGATGCGGGACTCGATCCGGGGACTCCAGGATCATGACCTGAGCTGAAGGCAGTTGCTCAACCAACTGAGCCACCCAGGCGCCCTCAGCTTATAGTTTTGATCATTGTACCCTAATATTAACAGAGGGGTCTCAGCAAAGGGTATACAGGAAATCTCTGCACTGTCTTTGCAACGTAATGTAAATCTCAAATTATTTTCACAAAAAGTTGAAAAACAAAATGTCAGAGCAGGATGTAGCAGGCCATTGTTCACCAGGGTAGGCCCACGATAGTTCCTCTTTGCCGAGCCTGATAGGAATTAGGTGTCTGTTTGACCAACCTGTTTGCTAGGGCAGGAGTTGTCAGGCTAGTGGGTGTGGATGCTTCTAGTCCAAGTTTTCTGGGCAGGAGTCTTTTTTCTTTCAGTTCCGTCTATCACGTCTTTGGATACTCCTTGCAGAAGGGGCATGTGCAATAAAAATGTCAAGAAGGACTATTAAAAAGGCAGAGATGCCTGGCTGCCTCAGTCAGAAGAGCATGTGACTCTGCGTCTTGGGGTGCTGAGTTTGAGCCCCAGGTGGGGTGTAGAGATTACTTAAAAACTTAAAAAAAAAAAAAAGAACTTTTTTAAAAATGGCATGCCTGGGTGGTTCAGTCTGCTAAGCATCTGACTGTTGGTTTCTGTTAAGGTCATGATCTCATGGATCATGAGATCGAGCCCTGTATTGGGCTCCACGCTCAGTGGGAGTCTGCTGGAAGATTCTCTCCCCCTGCTCCTCCTCCCACTCACTCGCTCTAAATAAATCTTAAAAAAATAAAAAATAAAAAGGTACAATAGAGAGCTAGGAGAAATCACATCCGGCTCAGGAGCATCAGGAGGGCTACTGGAGGGAGTGTCTGTCATGAACAGAGGGGGACTTAGAGGAGAAAGCCTTCCTGTGGTGAAGAGCACCAGCAGAGGCTTGAAGGTGACTGCATAGAGGAGACCTAGGTGCAGGTGCAATCCTTTTTTTTTTTTTTTTAGGATTTTATTTGACAGAGATCACAAGTAGGCAGGGAGGCAGGCTGGGGGGTTGGGGGGAGCAGGCTCCCCGCTGAGCAGAGAGCCCAATGCAGAGCTTGATCCCAGGACCCTGAGATCATGATCTAAGCCAAAGGCAGAGGCTTAACCCACTGATCCACCCAGGTGCCCCAGTAGGTACAGTCTGTCTTAATGGAAGCACAGAGCCTCTCTGGGGACCAGTGAGAGCTGAAATGGGAAGTAAAAACTAAAGTCTCATTATATGTAACAGGGTGACACTTACTTTAATTATATATGCCATGGGAGCCATGGAACGTCTTAGGGTAAGAGAAGGTCATCACTAGATCTGTGCTTGGAGCAGCAGTGTATAGCATGGCTTGGAGTAGAACAACTAGGGAACTATTGGTTTAGCCCAGGAGAGGTAATAAATTCAGTAGGGCTGCAAAGATAATATCCAAAGAAGGATATGGTTTGGGGAGATTTTATAGGCCTAAAGGACTTGGTAACTGAAGGGATCAAGGAAAAGAGAACTACCGAAGTTTTGGATCTGGGTGTTTTGGAGCTTGAATGATACATATGCAGAAATAGAGGACTTGATGAGTTCTAGTGTGGGGTGGGAGGGCACTGATTTCTTTTCTGAATGTCTGTCTTTGAATTAGGGCAGGACATCCAGCTGGAAATGTGTATGTATTGGTGTTTACTGGTGGAAGCCAAATGTACCCAGCAGGGACAGAAAGAGGAAAAGGAGCCTGAGCAGGCAGTCATTCTCATAGGGCTGAGGAGCTAAGATTAACGGGGAGCCTGCACATGAGGGCGTGGCAAATGAGTTGTGTCACAGCTTATGCACAGGTAGGAGAGGCTGAGGGGCAAGTCTAGATCGTGAATTTAGCAATTAGGAAGTCAGTGATCACTTTCCAGAGAGTTGTTTGAGTGCAGATGTAGGAAGATTGCTCATCGCCTTCTGTTCATCGTATGGCTTTTCCCAAGTGACCAGAACACTGAGCCAGGAGCCAGAGATATGGCTTCTAGTTCTGGTTCTGTCACTATCTGTGTAATTTTGGGGAAGTCACGTATAGCTTGTACTAACATAGAAAAATAAAACTAGAAGAACCCTTTTATTCCTAGCAACACCTAATAATCCGTAGAACTAGTGTTCCACAGGGCACACTTTGGGAAGTGCTGATATAGAAGCAGAACTTTGGAGCCTTAAAAAAACAAAAAATCAGCTTATCCAATCCTCTCATTTAACAAAGAAACTGATACCCAAATTCCAAGTCAATGAACATTGATTTCAAATGCATTGATGGCACCCCAAATAACCCTACGAAGTAGTTAAGCTTAAACCCATTTTGGAGACTGGAAAACATGCTCCAAAAAGTTAAAGGACTTGCCCAAGATCACAGAGCAGCAAGTAGTGTAATAAAATCTGAACTCAGACCTCCTGAGTCAGGGCCTTCTCTGTCACATACCCTGCTGCCTCCCTAGTTTTCAACACTGAATCCTTTTAAAACTGCCTGACTGGAACATTAGTAACTTCAAACATTTTCCCTTTCTTAGAAGGCATCTGTTCTTTTTAAAATTATTTTATTTTTTTTTCAAGATTTTATTTATTTATTTGACAGACAGAGATCACAAGTAGGCAGAGAGGCAGGCAGAGAGAGAGAGGAGGAAGCAGGCTCCCCACTGAGCGGAGAGCCCGATGCGGGCTGGATCCCAGGACCCTGGCAGAGGCTTTTAACCCACTGAGCCAGCCAGGCGCCACCCCCCCCCCCTTTTTAAAAAAATATTTATTTATTTGAGAGAGAGAGAAAGAGAGCATGAGAGGGAAGAGGTCAAAGGGAGAAGCAGACTCCCCGCCAAGCAGAGACCCCTATGTGCGACTCGATCCTGGGACTCCAGGATCAGGACCTGAGCCAAAGACAGTCGCTTAACCAACTGAGCCACCAGGCACCCCAGGAGGCATCTGTTCTAAAAGTAATTTAGTTTAACTGAATTACATGTGAATATTAGTATATAAAAAGTGGGAGAGTACACAGCCAGCTGTTCCCAAAGTGAGATTTTTTAAAACGGTGGAGTACTGGATTGTGGGAAAGTTCATTTATGTTCACCAGTGAACAGAAAGAACCATGATACCTGAATATGTGGCACACTAAAAAATATTCTTAGCTAATCCCACGATTGCTTACTCTTTCCTCTCGCTACTTTTGTCCTTTGTGTTGACCAATTCCATTTTCTCCACTGCTGGCTGCCTAGTCCTGACCACACCCTCCTTACACAGAGGTGTGAGATTTCATTTACAAACAGGAATTTGCGATAGAGGTAAAAACACAGCTTCTTAGGGATTTTCTATCTTGACAAATAAAAATAGACAAATTTACTTATTTTGGAAATAAACTTGTAAAGGAGCCAAGATGATTTTGTAAAAATTTGGGTAAAAAATGACTTACTTTCAGTTCTGTTTGATGTTATAAATGATAGGAATGTGGTTTATTCTGATGTTAATTTCATTCAGGTTCTTCAAATGACAGAAAGCTAAGAGCTCCACAGTGTTTCTGACATTAGGGATCAGAATTCAGAATCTGGTTCTATCTCTTGTTAGCTATGTTACTTAACCACTCTGTGCCTAATTAAGTTCAGTTGTCTAGACTTAAACAGTAACAGTATTGTCTTGCAAAGTGAGGATTAAATAGAACAATCTAAGTAAAACACTTAAGTAGTGCCTAGCACACAGAAAGTAAACCACAAGTGCTATTATTACATCACTGAAAAAGAACTGGTGCTGATTTAAAGCATCTAGTTTAATAATTTGCTTAGGTAGGAGGGAACAATTTGTTCCTCAATCCAGTTAAAGGTCCCTTTTATTCATTTATTATCTTGTTCCTCAATCCAGTTAAAGGTCCCTTTTATTCATTTATTTATTTTTGCTTAAAAAACAACTGGGCCACCCAGCACCCTATGTGTGGTTTTAATAGTGGAAGAATAAGAGAAACATCTCACTAAAAAAATGCAAGACTTAGATTTAATTATTTTTTAAAATTATTATTTATTTACTTGACAGATCACAAGTAGGCAGAGAGACAGGCAGAGAGAGAGAGAGAGAGAGAGAGAGGAGGAATCAGGCTCCCTGCTGAGCAGAGAGCCCAACGTGGGGCTCAATCCCAAGACCCCGGATCATAACCTGAACCGAAGGCAGAGGCTTTAACCCACTGAGCCACCCAGGCGCCCCAGATCTAATTATTTTTTTTAAGTTCTGGTAAGCAGTTATTTAAACAGCAGGATATTTAGAGAGGATGTCAGATGTATTTATTTATTTTTTTAATGAGTCTTGAGAAAAGGAGATGTTTCTAAACAAGTACATCACAATAGAGGTTTTGAAATGCCTGGTGGTGAAAGTCCTTCTCAGCTGTACTCCGTGCAAGAGGAACAAGGCTGAGCAGTTAAGGTGCTCTCCAGCCCCTGGGCTAGGTACCTCCAGTGGTCAGTGGTCTTTCCTCAGGGAGGGCTTAGTGGTGGGCACTATAAGGCTTTTTTTTTTTAAGATTTTATTTATTTGATGGAGAGAGACACAAAGAGAGAGGGGACACAAGCAGGGGGGACTGGGAGAGAGAGAAGCAGGATTCCCGCTGAGCAGGGAGCCCGATGAGGGGCTTGATTCCAGGACTCTGGTATCATGACCTGAGCCGAAGGCAGACGCTTAAAAGACTGAAACACCCAGGCGCCCCAATAAAGCCTTTTTATCTGGAATCTTTCCTCTGGGAAGAATGGCAGGCACTTAGCTCCACAGTATGCAGAGCCTTGCTGAGGTGACTGTTTTTCTGCTGGACAGGAGAATATTTCAATGCATTTATTCGTTCCTTCATTCACTTATTTAAGAAGTATTTCTTGAGTACCAATTATGTCCCAGATACTGTCTTAGGCATTGGGAACGCAGGGATGAGCCAAACAGACAAAATATTCTCTTCTTAAAGAGCTTACTTTCCACTTAGAGCCGTGGAGCAGGTCTGGGCTTCAGCAGAGAAGTTTCAGGTTGCCCTACCTTTTGAGAGGCATCATAGGCAGGGCAGAAGCCACTCCTACTTTCCTAGACCCCACCTTAATACTGCCTTCCCCCTTTCCAGTGGTGTGATGGGGGAAAATGAATAAAATAGGGAGGGGTATGTTAGAAGGTCCTAACTGCAGCAAAAATAAAGCAGGGAAGTGGGAGGGAGAGGGGTTTGCACTTTTAGACCCCATGTCGGTCATGGAGGTGCCACTGGAGGAAAGACACAAAGGAGGTGAAGAACCAGTTGAGCGGCTGCCTGGGGAAGATCATCCCAGGTGAACTGTGTCTTCATAGAAACAGAAGGTGAACCAAGTAGAGCTAGAGGAGAGGCTCTAAGAACGCCAAGCGCCTAAAGGGCATGAAGCCCCGTGAAGGGACAGAGGCAGGTGGTCTCTATAGTCACTGCAAGTCCCAGTTTTCAGAGACTCCCTGAATTCTATGTAGCTCATAGACTGTGAAAACCATACCCTTTCGTCTCTTTTCTTGGCAGAGGCTGATCTGCTTTATCCTGATCAGGAGATTATTAGATTCAGTAAAGATTTTCCTGCTTCCTTACCATTCCCTGCAATCTTTGAAATAAGAGGTTGGATCTTTTCCTACCTAAGAGGTCCTTAAATGTTAAATGAATAGGATTGCAAGGGCAGTTTGTGTGCTGATGCCTTGCTGGGATAGTCACGCCTGTATAATGGAGAAAGAAACTTTTCTCCCCGCTAAAACCCAACTTTATTATACTGATGGTCTTTAAACTACTCTTTCTCTTAATCACAGATAACCTGCTTTCCTGATGTTGAATACAGCATCTGGCTGATGAGCAGGGTGGTGAGGCCTCCGAGTGAGGCGGAGGTTCGGACCTGGGAAACGGAAGATGATGACATGGCAGAAGGTGACTTAGGGTATGGTCTCGGAAGAAGGCCTGGCAGTATTTATGAAGTCCAAGTTTCACACCTATCGACATTGAGAAAAAGATCTGATGGCAAGAACTTTAGCCCGCCCCCATTTCCAGGAAAGGGAGGGGAAAGAAGTGGTGCCATTTTCCAGTACTCCAGGCATGAGAGCTTGCAAGATACATACCCAGAGGACCACAGAACTTCACACTCCAGACGACAAAGTAGCAGTGGTAAGAGTGTCTAGTGCCCTCTCCTTTCTCCTTCTCTGCTGTGAATTTTTTTTTTTAATTTTATTTATTTATATGACAGAGAGAGAGAGATCACAAGTAGGCAGAGAGGGAGGCAGAGAGAGGAGGAAGCAGGCTCCCTGCGAAGCAGAGAGCCCGATGTGGGGCTCGATCCCAGGACCTTGAGACCATGACCTGAGCCGAAGGCAGAGGCTTAAACCATTGAGCCACTCAGGCGCCCCTCTGCTGTGAATTTTATCAGTGCTTTCACTCTTCCAACACCAGACAGTAGGTCACTGTAGTGGATTCTGGAAATTCATCTTTATTCGCCTCTTGGGATTGGTGATAGTACAAAAGTAACCCACGTTTCTATTTTCAAGGATTGTACAAATGGAGTAGTTATTCTGCCTTAATACAGATACGTTAGTGATATCAGTGATAACCTACCTTGCCTTTGTGTGTGTGTGATTTAGTGGTATGCCTCATCCTTTTTTTTTTTTTTTTTTTAAATTCAAGTATTTATGGGGTACCTCTTAGATGCCAGGGGCTGTTCTAGGCTCTGGGAACATTAGTGAACAAAAGAGTCTCCATGTCATGAAGTTCACATTCTAGTAGAGAAGAAAAAATTACTCTACCAGTCAACAGCTATGTCACTCGAGGCAGTAGAAAGCGCAGGAACAGTGAGTATTTGGTCTCCCATCCAAGTACTAACCAGGCCCGACCCTGCTTAGCTTATGAGATCAGACAAGATCAGGCACATTCAGGGTGGTGTGGCCACAGACAACTGTGAGTATTTGGAAGGGCTGGCAATATGCTCTTCCAGGCAAGGGTCAGGCCTTACCACCCATCTAAGGAGGTGGCTCTTGAGCACCAGAATGAAACGATGTCCAAGCCTAGAACTTATCTGGGGAAGGCATGTTCCAGGCAAAACATATCTGTTTCTGGTTATTTTAGGAAAGTCATGAAATCCTTCCCTTAAAAATTAATATTTTTTAAAAGCAAACCTCTACACTCAACCTTGGGTAGTGCAACCCGGGGATCAACAGTCACCCACTCCACCGACTGAGCCAGCCAGGTGCCTCTCAAAAGATTAATCTTAATTTATCAGAACAAAAAATAAATTATGCCATATATCAAGGAAAAAATAAAATTCAGGATCTTGTCGTGATAGAATGTGACAACTTCAGAACGGTTGGGAACCCAGGGGTGACTTCACATCTGCCTGGTGGCACAGCTTTTGTTTGGCCAAATCTTCTGTAATCCATGTAGTAAAACTTACCCCACCCAAGTGGAATGAACACAAAGTAGAACAACATGAGAATAATTTAAGAAACATGGTTTCTAGATTTACAGAAAACAGGCTGCAGCTGAGGATCTTAGCCCCCAGCTTTCATAATCCCTCTTGAAATTAGGATGGGATTATTTATATATTTTTCTTTCAATTCCTTATCATGCATAGAGGTTGGGTTTCATTTTGCAAGCAAGATGTTGAAAATCGCACATGATGCTAAGATGCCTTTGTAAGAACATGAGGAAACGAATGGGATATAAATAAGATATAAAAGTATGAGCTCCTGTCATGTTGGGCTATGGACTTTTTTTTTTTTTTTTTTTAAGATTTTATTTATTTATTTGACAGAGAGAAATCACAAGTAGGCAGAGAGGCAGGCAGAGAGAGAGAGGAGGAAGCAGGCTCCCTGCTGAGCAGAAAGCCCGACACGGGGCTTGAACCCAGGACCTGGGATCATGACCTGAGCCGAAGGCAGCGGCTTAACCCACTGAGCCACCCAGGCGCCCCGGGCTATGGACTTTTATCTTAAGTTAGCCTGATCCTACATAAGGATATTGTATTGATTTCTTAATCGCTAATAGGTAATTTCCAAATTATCACAAATCTAATGCCTTAAGAAAACAATAGCTTATTATCTTACAGTTCTGCAGGTCAGAAATCCAAAATAGGTTTTACTGGGCTAAAGTCAAGATGTCGGCAGGGCTGTGTTCCTTCTGGAGACTCTAAGGGAGAATCCATTCCTGTGCCTTTTCCAGCTTCTAGAGCCCACCAGCATTCCTTGCCCCGTGGCCACCTTCTCCATCTTCAAAGCCAGCAATGGCTGGTAAAGTCTTTCTCATGCTGTTTCACCCTGACACTGACTTTCCTGCCTCCCTCTTTCAATTATAAGGACCCTGGTGAGTACAATGGGATCATTTGGCTAATCCAGGATAATCTCTTAGTCCTTAATTTAATCATACCAACAAAGTCCCTTTTGCCCTGTATTCACAGGTTCTGGGGATTAAGATGTGGTCATCTTTAGGGCCATTTGTCTGCCTACCACAAGTATTACTACAACAGGACTTGTCATTGCCAACCCAATGTCACTTGTTTCTGCTTGGGGCCTTGTGCCATCAGAGTAAGAACAAGATTTAGTTTTTGCCTCCGATACTGTCATATTGACAGTTCAGAACAGCAAAGAAGAAATTCTTTTGAGAAGTTTTTAATGTTCCTCAAAATACTCTTTCTAAAAAATCTTTTCTTCCTCTTACTTCTTCTTAATCTTCTTGCTTGTAATTTACCACTTTCATGTTTTTCTATTGCCAGTGAGACCACAATGAAAATGAAGCTCCTGGGAAGCTCAGTTTAATGTCTCAATTGATCACGTTAAAGAGAGAATAATTGAAGCTACAGGAGACTTCTGGTCATTCTCCTTAGAAAGAAATTAAACAGGTTATTTCTTAGATATTCATATCACTACATTGATCAGACTTAAACCAAACACCAAAATTTATTTCACTCACCGACATTCATGTTTTGTTTTGTTTTTAAGAATTTATTTATTTATTTGACAGATAGAGATCACAAGTAGGCAGAGAGGCAGGCAGAGAGAAGTTGGGGGGGAGGGCGGAGCTGAGCAGAGAGCCTGATGCAGGGCTTGATTCCAGGACCCTGAGATCATGACCTGAGCCAAAGGCAGGGGCTTTAATCCACTGAGCTACCCGCCCCCTCCAACATTCATGTTTTTAAATACTGTTTGGCATGTAGTCATTAACCAATTCATTAACAACAGTTTTATTAGAGAGTCTCTTTTTAAAGAGTATTTTTATTCAAAAATATGTATCTTTTCATTTGCGCAATTTTTTTTTTTTAAGATTTTATATATTTGACATGGAGAGAGATAGAGAGAGCGCAAGCAGGGGGAGTGGCAGGCAGGGAGAAGGAGAGGGGAGAGGCAGACTCCCCGCTAAGCAGGGACCCTGATATGGGGCTCAATCCCAGTGCCCCTTAATTAAGCTACCTATTTTTATCGTTATTTGATTTATTACAATTCTTTCATCTTGACAAAAAATTGTATTTGATATTTTGTAAACAGATGTCCTGTATTAACTAGTTTAAAAAAGTATTTGTTGGGGCTCCTGGGTGGCTTAGTCGTTAAGCGTCTGCCTTTGGCTAGTGTCATGATGCCAGGGTCCTGGGATTGAGCCCCAGGTGTGCTCTCTGCTCAGCAGGGAGCCTGCTTCTCCCTCTCCTTCTGCCTTTCCCTCTGCTTGTGCCCCCCTAAATAAATAAAATCTTTTAAAAAATCTAAAAAGTATTTGTTTTTTTCCTAATAGATTCTAATTTGGAATTGTCAAATGTAGAATTAAAGCAACGTCTTCAGGCTACTTTAGAGGTAAGTATTCTGGCTAATATAAAAATTCTCATGTGAACAAAAAGCCCACTGATATTTTAAGTAATACTACAAGTGTCTGGAAAACCACGCTGGCTTTCCAGATATTCTCTGAGAGCCAGGGTGTGAGGCTCTTGACTTTCAACTGGCCTCCTTTCTTATCTTCCTCTTCTCTCAAGAAAGCTACGTTTACATAAACATGCCCTCCAGCTTGCCCACCCCCCCCACCCCCACCCCAGTCTTTCACAACTTCTCTAATCTGCTCCTGGAGAAAAGAGTTATGAACTGCCCTCCATCTGTCTCACCTGTGTGTGTGGCCTGACATAAACTGACTTCATTTAACCTCTTGGAAGTCAGACCAGCAGGTTTCCCAGGTGCTGCTGGGAGTAGGAGTATCTCTGTGGGGTCCCTATCTTTTGGGGAACAGGAAGCCTATGTAACGTGTATTTCTTACTCTTCTGGGGAAAGCTACCAAGCTACGGGATTCGTTTTCCAGGGCTGCTGTAGCAAAACACCACAAACAGATGACTTATAAAACTACAGAGATGTGGGACGCCTGGGTGGCTCAGTTGGTTAAGCGGCTGCCTTCGGCTCAGGACATGATCCCAGCGTCCTGGGATCGAGTCCCACATCGGGCTCCTTGCTCAGCGGGGAGCCTGCTTCTCCCTCTGCCTCTGCCTGCCACTCTCTGCCTGTGCTCATGCTCTCTCTCTAACAAATAAATAAAATCTTAAAAAAAAAAAAAAAAACAACTACAGAGATGTATTCTCTCTCAGTTCTGGAGGCTAGAAACCTGAAATCAAGACGTCAGTTGACCATGTTCCCTCTGGAAGGTCTAGAAGAGAATCCTTCTTTAAAGGATTTAAAGATTAAATCTTAAAATTTGAGATTAAAGATTCTCTTTAGGAAGAGAATCTCTTCCTAGCTTCTGGAGGTTACCCCTGACAGTCTCCTCCTTCCTTGGTTTATAGCTGTCACTCAGTCGTTGCCTCTATTGTCACATGGCCTTCTCCCCTTTGTGTCTGTGCCCAAACTTCCCTTGTGTTAGGACAGCAGTCTTGGATTGAGGCCTACTCTAATCTAGTATGACCTCATCTTAATCTGATTACATCTGCAAAGACCCTCTCTCCAAATAAGATCACATTCTTAGTACCAGGAGTTAGGATTTGGATGTATCTTTACTTGGGAGGGACATAATTCAGCTGATGATAGGTACTATAGCTTGTGGATGATCACATGCTTATTTTAGGTGCTCTAAAAAGATTATTTTCAGATTATTCGCTGTGTGGTCTATAAGGGTAAAAGCAAAAGGTCTGGGCTTTTAGTTACAACAGGTACCTGATGGTGAGAGTTTCAGTCTAAAGCCTGCCTGGGCTGCTTAGGAAACCTAGAGGAATTTCTAGCCTCTTTTGTAAGGTCAGAATGCTTAGATTCAAAGTGCTGGCTATCAGAGTGTTGAGCTTACTGTAAACTATCCAAAGTGATCATTTGGGGAGTTGCATATCTTACAGATACATAGACTAATTTTACTTTTCCCCTTAGACGGTAGAACTTTTAAAAACGGAACTTGAGGCATCTCAAAGGCAACTTGAAGGTAAAGAGGAAGCACTGAAAATTCTTCAAAGCATGGTAAGAAGTTATTTTTTAATTTTGGTCACTTACACATTCCTACCATAGGTAGTATGGTTATTTATTTATTTATTTATTTATTTATTTATTTATTTATTTAAAAGATTTTATTTATTTATTTGACGGACAGAGATCACAAGTAGGCAGAGAGGCAGGCAGAGAGGAGGAAGCATGCTCCCTGCCAGGACCCTGGGCTCATGACCCGAGTTGAAGTCAGAGGCTTTAACCCCCTGAACCACTCAGGCACCCCTGGTTTTATCTTTTAAAATAAAAGCATCAGTGCTTAATATAGGTTTTTTTTTTTTTTTTTTTTTTTGAGGTGGAGATTGTTAAAACAGTTCTATTGAGGTAAAAATTTATATGTTATGAATTTCACTTGTTTCCAGTATACAGTTTATTTTTGCTGACCTTAGAGTTGTATAACCATCACCATGATCTAATTTTAGAATATTTTCATTATTCTCCAAAAGGAAGTTCTAACCCATTAGCAGTTACTCCCCATTCCCATCCCCCACTCTAGACAACTCACCTTACTATCTTTTGGATTTGTCTTTTCTATTTCATATAAATGGAATGCTAGAATATGTGTCTGGATTCTTTTAATTAACATGTTTTTGAGGCTCATGTATGGTGGGCATGTGTCAGTACTTTCTTCCTTTGTATTGCCTAATATTCTATTGTATGGATAAGCCATATTTGTTTATCCATTCACCATTTAATGGGCACACACTGTTTCCTCTTTTGGGCTCTTAAGAATAACACTGCTTGGGGCACCTGGGTGGCTCATTCGGCTTAGGTCATGATCGTAGGGTCCTGGGATCGAGCCCCACATCGAGCTCCCTGCTCTGCAGGAAGTCTGCTTCTCCCTCTCCCACTCCCCCTACTTGTGCTACCTCTGTCGCTGAGTCTCTCTCTGTCGAATGAATGAATGAATGAATGAATAACGCTGCTTTATTTGTTCATGTACCAATCTTTGTGTGGAAAGTTCTTTCATTTATTCCCAGATGCATCAAGAGAATCAAACGAAGATCTTTTGACATGTGAACTATCAAATTCTCCATAAAAGGTGGTCTCTATGGAAATTCTCTGGTGTTGTATTGTGAACCTTACTCTGTATATAGGAGTAATGAGAAACTTAATGAGAAACTTAATTTGTACTGATATGATTCTTATTCTTCTTAGGCAATATTTGGCAAAGCCACGAGTCACACCCAAATGATGCTTCAAAAAACTATGGAACAAAAGAGATCCTTGGAGAAGGTATTTGCCACTTTTAGTATAGACTTGTTTAGTGCACTGAGCTTTCAAATAGAATTTCCTTTAAAAATCACTATATCAATGGCTGTGTCATTTGTGCTTACCCTCTTTTAGTTGTGCTTCTATTTTATACAGACCCTTCCCTTTTGGAGCTTACAGTCCAAAACATATTGTTACACAAGCGAAGAATTAAGATTTCTTTTATTTCCTTATTTTAAGTTAGTGCCAAATTGACACTTCCTATTTTTCTTCTTTTTCCTTTTTTCTTTTTTTTTTTTTAAAGATTTTATTTATTTATTTGACAGAGAGAGAGACCACAAGCAGGCAGAGGCAGGCAGAGAGAAAGGGAAGCAGGCTCCCCACCGAGCAGAGAGCCCGATGCGGGGCTCGATCCCAAGACCCTGAGACCATGACCCGAGCCGAAGGCAGAGGCCCAACCCACTGAGCCACCCAGGCGCCCCATTCTTTTTCCTTTTTTCTTTCTCTGCCGGCCTGGCAGAGCCTGCCTCTTTCTGACCAGCTCATGGTCACTAAAACAGTAGTCAGGAATCATCTTGGAAGGTTTTGTTCCTATGCCTGTTGTAGTCTCCCTTGATGACAGTGTCCTGGGCTCAAACTTCAAAGCATGTGTTTTGTTTGTGGGTCTGTATGGGTTGGGAGTGGGGACAATGAGGAATGCAGGTTCTGAGCAGCAAAATTTGAAGCTATTTCTTATAGGAAGGTTTGGCAAAGTTTTCTTGAGTGCTAAAAAGGCACGTTATAGGTGTTTACAAATGTCACAGACTCTTTTTGAATAATTAGTTTCTCTTTAACCTATTCCTTTTAAGTAATTAACGATTTATTTCAGCTGTTCACAATGTCCTGAAGTGATTTACTTGTAGTAATTTTCCATGAAAAGTGCTATTTTCTTTCTATAGGAAATAAATGCTTTGCAGTGGGAAATAGAATTTGATCAGAATAGATTTAAAAATATAGAGGAATCATGGACCCAAAAATATGACAGGTTTGTATATTCTTATTTTATAGTTTTTCTTTGTATATAATTTATGTATATTTGTTATTTTTAATATTTATTAATTTGAGTAATCTCTACTCCCAACATGGGGCTTGAACTCATGACCCCGAGATCAAGAGTCACATGCTCTTCCTCTCTGTCTCTTTCTTTGTAGTTAAATATGTATAGATATCTGAGCCATTTAAGAGTAAGTTGCATAAAAGGCCTCATGACTAAATATTTCACTCTGTTAATAAAAGGGACTTTTGGGGTGCCTGGGTGGCTCAGTGGGTTAAAGCCTTTGCCTTCAGCTTGGGTCATGATTCCAGGGTCCTGGGATGGAGCCCCGCATCGGGCTCTCTGCTCAGCAGGAAGCCTGCTTCCTCCTCCCTCTCTCTCTCTCTGCCTGCCTCTCTGCCTACTTGTGATATCTGTCAAATAAGTAAATAAAATCTTTAAAAAAAAAAATAAAAAAATAAAAGGGACTTTTATAACCATAACAAAATTATCAAAATTAAGATATCAACCTAAGAGGCGCCCGGGTGGCTCAGTTGGTTAAGCGGCTGCCTTCAGCTCAGGTCATGATTCCAGGGTCCTGGGATCGAGTCCCACATCGGGCTCCCTGCTCAGCAGAGAGCCTGCTTCTCTCTCTCCCCCTCTCCCTGATGCTCTGCTTACTTGTGCTCTCTCTCTAGCTCTCTGTCAAATAAACAAATAAAATATTAAAAAAAAAAATATCAACCTAATACTCTTTTTTTATTTGATTTGCTAATTATGCTAGTAAACATCTGACTCTTAGTTTTGGCTCAGGTCATGATCTCAGGGTCCTGAGATTTAGCCCTGTGTCCAGCTCCTTGCTCAGTGCAGAGTCTGCTTAAGACTCTCTCTCCCAGGGGCATCTGGGTGGTTCAGTGGGTTAAGCCTCTGCCGTCAGCTCAGGTCATGATCTCGGGGTCCTGGGATCAGGCCCCGCATCAGGCTTTCTGCTCAGCAGGGAGGCTGCTTCCCCCTCTCTCTGCCTGCCTCTCTGCCTATTTGTGATCTCTGTCAAATAAATTAAAAAAAAAAAAAAAAAAGACTCTCTCCCCTTTGGAGTGCCTGGGTGGCTCAAGTCACTTAAGCTTCTGCCTTTGGCTCAGGTCATGATCCCAGGGTCCTAGGGTCAAGCCCTGTGTTGGGCTCCCTTCTCAGTGTGGAGTCTACTTCTACCTTTCCCTCTGCTGCTCCCCCTGATTCTACATTCTCTCTGTCAAATAAATAAATAGAACCTTAAAAAAAAAAAAAAACTCTCCCTCAAGAAGAAAGGGGGGATACCCGGGCGGCACAATCAGTTGACCGTGATACAGTCATGACCATTTGGCTCAGGTCATAATCTCAGGATTGTGAGACTCTGCACTTCATGGGGAGTCTGCTTGAGATTCTCTCTCTCCCTCTCCTTCTGCCCCCACCCCTGGGTGTGCATGTGCTTTTACTTAGTCTCTAAATCAGTTAATCAGTCTTAAACAAATTCCAGCTTTGGTCAATGGGAGCCCCTTCAAGCTGGCTTCTGTGGCTTTCCGACACCTCCCTATTATTGTTTTGAGCACTTTCTTGCTTTCTGGTACAAAATATTCTAAGCTATTATGCTTAAAATATTAAGCATTTCTTCAGGGATCCCTGGTTCCTTTAAATGGGGACTCGTGTTTAGAAATGAAGATCTTAGTGCTAGGTGTGTTTATTGCTGTTGGAAGTAGATGTTTAACCCACTGCACCATCAGGCGCTCCCAAATTTGGAAAATTTTAAGCAACAAAAGAAATTATGATAGTAATGGCTTTTAACCAGTTGAATAATGCAAGAATTCAGGAATCCATTTTGGCATAAACAAATGGGGGAGAAAAAAGCTCTTTATTACAGTAAAATGCCAGCAAATAAATGTAGAAGGAATAACAGAATTAGCAAATTACCATTTGGCAACCATCATAGTAATAATGACTGCATCAGGCAGAATAGTCTGTGGATGTAGAAACTAGTGGGTGAAAATCTGATAAATCACATAATCTCAGAGCATCTCCCCACAAGAGCTTATTAATCACAAGGGGAAAAAATAGTGACTTTATCGTGGAGAGTGAGGGTATATACCCCACAGTCAACACACTGTGTTCAAAACTTGTTCAGGGGCGCCTGGGTGGCTCAGTGGGTTAAGCCGCTGCCTTCGGCTCAGGTCATGATCTCGGGGTCCTGGGATCGAGTCCCGCATTGGGCTCTCTGCTCAGCAAGAAGCCTGCTTCCCTCTCTCTCTCTCTCTCTCTGCCTGCCTCTCTGTCTGCTTGTGATATCTGTCAAATAAAAATAAAAAATAAATAAAAAAAAAAAACTTGCTCAGTTTCTTGGGGCGCCTGGGCGGTGCAGGCAACTCAGCATCTGACTCTTGGTTTTGGCTCAGGTCATGATCTCAGGGTGGTGAGATCGAACCCTGCTTTGGGCTCCATGCTCAGCGAGGAGTTGGCTTGAGTTTCTCTCCCCCTCTCCTCCTGCTCCACCCCACCACTGTGCTTGCTTGTGTTCTCTTTCAAATACATAACTCTTTGAAAAATATTAAAACTTGTTTACTTTTTTCTCTTTAGTATGGTTATACTGTTATTTTAGTTCATTTGTTTCTATTTTTATTCTTATTTTTCCACCATTCTTGTTGATTTACTTATTCAGCTTGTTTATTTTTGACTTTGTAAAACACTGACACACTTCCCAAAGTCAGAACTATTTGAGGTATAGTCAGAAATGTCATTCTCCCCCCATGCCTACCCCATTCCCAGCCTCCTGGCATCCTTCCTTTTCTTCACCATCTGTAGATAATCAGTCTCACTATTTTCTGATTTATCCTTCCTGTGTTTCCTTTTGCACAAATGGGCATATATGTATTCTCTTATTTCTCCTTTCTTACATCAAAGAATAGTTGACTGTAGTCTTTTGAACTGTTTTTACTGTTTAACAATATATCTTGGAAACCACCCCATTGTGTGGATGGGCCATAGTGTACTCAACCATTCTCCTAGACAGGCACTTTGTTCCCAATATTTTGCAGTTATGAACTATGTACCTCTCTATGCAAGTTTCTGAAGGTGGCCTAAACTTATACATGGTGTTTAAGATGATGAAAACTTTAGTAAGGAGAAACGGGGCGCCTGGGTGGCTCAGTGGGTTAAGCCTCTGCCTTCGGCTCAGGTCGTGATCCCAGGGTCCTGGGATCGAGCCCCATATCGGGCTCTCTGCTCAGTGGGGAGCCTGCTTCCCTCTCTCTCTCTGTGCCTGCCTCTCTGCCTACTTGTGATCTCTGTCAAATAAATAAATAAAAAATCTTTAAAATTTAGTAAGGAGAATGAATATTCAGAAGGATGCCCTAGAGATATTTCTGATTCTTTTTTTTTTTTTTTTAATCTTATATATTTATTTGAGGGGGAGTGAGAGAGATGATGAGAGCATGATGAACAGGGGCAAGGGGAGAGGGAGAGGCAGGCTCCCCGCTGAGCTGGGCTCAATCCCAGGACTGAGAGATCATGACCTGAGCCAAAGGCACATGCTAAACCGACTGAGCCACCAAGGTGCCCCATTTTTTTTTTTTTTTTAAGATTTTATTTACTTGAGAGAGAGACAGAGTGTGTGAGGGATAGAGGGAAAAAGCCAACTCCGTACTAAGTGCAGAGCCCCACTTGGGGCTCAGTCCCAGGACCCTGAGATAACTTGAAATCATATGCTTACCTGACCAAGCCACCCAGGCACCCCTGCTTCTCTATTTTTTACTTTAATTAATTAACTAATTAAAGGGAGAGGGGGAGAGAGAATCTTTTTTTTTTTTTTTTTTTTAATTTTTAAAGATTTTTATTTATTTGTCAGAGAGAGAGGGAGAGAGAGCGAGCGCAGGCAGACAGAATGGCAGGCAGAGGCAGAGGGAGAAGCAGGCTCCCCGCCAAGCAAGGAGCCCGATGTGGGACTCGATCCCAGGATGCCGGGATCATGACCCGAGCCGAAGGCAGCTGCTCAACCAACTGAGCCACCCAGGCGTCCCTATTTTTTATTTTTTAATTTGAGATACTTCTGATGCTTTCTCAGCTAAATATACAGAAGAATTATGTTCAAAATCTTACCACACTTTTTTTTTTTTAAGATTTTATTTATTCATTTGACAGACAGAGATCACAAGTAGGCAGAGAGGCAGGCAGAGAGAGAGGGAGAAGCAGGCTCCCCGCTGAGCAGAGAGCCCGATTCGAGGCTTGATCCCAGGACCTTGAGATCACCACCTAAGCTGAAGGCAGTGGCTTAACCCACTGAGCCACCCAGGCGCCCCTTACCACACTTTTAAATTGTTTTCGTTTTGTGACTCATATATGTTCTAGACTGTTCTGAAGTAGGAAAATTTTTATTTGGGTTTTTGTGTTCTAATTATGAGATAAAAATCTTATTCAGCCATGAAATGTTAATATTTTAGTTATATGGAGGGTACTTTTTTCCTAGGCTAAACTGTGAAAATGCAGTCCTCCAAGAAACTTTGAATGTAAAAACAGAAGAAATTAAAATGCTCAAGTCAGAAAATGCACGTAAGTAAAGAGTGATAGTTTGATGATCTTTAAAAATATTATGTTAGAAGATCATTTTTATTTATTTTTTTAAAAAAGATTTTATTTAGGGGCGCCTGGGTGGCTCAGTGGGTTAAGCCGCTGCCTTCGGCTCAGGTCATGATC